CACTTTTGATGATGGCGGTAAACAGGACAAATAGGGAGAGTGAATCTCCCTAATGGCGCAGAGGAAGCAATAAAAACCTGACAGGAGATCTTGTAAGAGTGTATGTCACCCAGTCATACACTCTATAAATGCAGACTGTGCCAGTAAACGTGCCCAGGCATGGTCTACTGTTCATCAGGAAACCCACCCTGAGGAATAATGTGTAAGAGTTGCTATAAGGGAACATGTAGACAGGAAAGCTGCAAAGAGTTTGCAGGAGATTAGCAGTACTGAGATGCAACAAAGGATACAAGCTTATTCACTTTTTTGTGCTGTGTTGTGATGTGTTAAGAAATGTGCATTAGGCAGCCCATGCACTTGCCAACCCAAAGAAACATTGGCAAAAAGGTGCATGTAGCATGCCATTCAAAATGATTGGCACGACAAGGCACCACACCATGGTACACACACTGCCATGTGTTCACTTATGGCAAAACACACATTATTGAAACACATAAAAGGACCTGCTATAATGAAAAAGGTTAAAAATAAATAAATAAATAAATAAAAATAAAAAAAAAAAATATATATATATATATATATATTTTTTTTAAAGGTGATTGCTTATGATATACAGTGCTTTAGCCAACTAAATTTCATTCACATAGGACTTACATCTACTTTGTTCACTTTTCTTTCTCAAAGGTCCTGAGTTTCCCAGAACTGGATATTTGTATAAGAAAACACATGAGAATTTTATATTACAGAGGCTGCATCAGCAGGACTAAAAATACCCAGAAATATGTTCATTATTGGTAGAGGAGTGAGACTACAAGGTGTGTGGAAACTGTTGTGGAATTTCAGTGAAATCTCACTCTTGAAGACCCAATGGGTAACTCACCAGACTTCATCTAGAACTGGAATAACACTTTTGGCTGCTCTGGCCTATCAATCGGCGCTTCCAGTTGGTAGACAGGTCCTCTTTAAAACCTGGAATAGACCTCTTCATTGCTGAAAACCTGTACAGAGAGGTAAACAGCTGAAAGGATTCATTTATTGCAGCTCATGTAATCACTTCCAGGAGCTCAGAGTTTTTTGGAAGTGGCTGCTGTTCTGAGATCCCTTGCAGCACTGACTAATCTTTGTGTGTATTTGGACCAAATGTAGCGAGACCTAAAGGAAGAAGGCTATTCATTCAAAGTTGTCAGCACATCTTTATAACAGAATAATTCTTTTTATCCTGCCACATCCCGTCCAACCCCCCTACAACAATGAAAGGGTAACTCAAAGAACGAGGCCCTGTGAGGGTCTTCATCTCACAGTGCAAAGTACACATCTCAGATCACGTATTCTTTGTGCCATGTGTTCAATTAAGGATATGCAACTGAAGGAGGAAGCAATATCATGCTGTATTCTAAAGACTAGCTTCAGTCCCCCTTTTCACATGTTGTTCCTGTAGTACGTAAATATATTAATTGTCCATTCTATAATTTTCAAATTAAAGTATACTTTTTCTTTACTAAAAGGTACCATTTAAATTAGCCTTTCTCAAGCTTTTCAACATGGAGGTGCCCTTGAAATAACTGTGAGATCTCAGGGAACCCCTGTTAATAATTAGTGTATCTACAGTTCTCTGCTTAAAGCCTGATGGCTATTGAGAAGAATGCTCCTCCCTACATTTGTGGGCATTGGGAAGAGCCCCCCTATTAGAGATAGCTAATGGGATTATTGGTGTCAGTGGTTACTTATCTGGAAGGGAGAAGTTGCTCATTACTTAAGGAACCCCTAGTAACCTATGGAGGAACCTTGGGGTTCCACAGAACACTGGTTGGGAAAGGCTGCTTTAAATTAGCCCTTCTCTCTTATGCTCTCTACTCCATGCTTCTGGCAACTCAACGCTGCTCAGTCCATGGAGAACCAAAATATTCCCAGTTGGTCCTGAAGTCATAAAGATGAAGGACAAATCACATTCAGTACTATGGAGTGGTATTCTATTATTTAAAAAAAATCACTTGTCACCTAAAACAATGACTGTGTATTGGTAGCTCCCCTCCTTCACTTTAAGAGAAAGCCACTCATTGAGAAATCATTGTGCAGTACACAAGGTAGGGGGAGATTTACTAAAACAGGTGCACCCAGAGTCTGGTGCAGCTGTGCATAGTAACCAATCAGCTTCTAACTCCAGGTTGTTCAGTTAATCTTTGACAATGAAACCTAGAAGTTGATTGGTTACTATGCACATGTAGCAAGCAAATTAATACACCTCCCAGTAATGCTATTACTAGGCTGCAGCTAGAGGGAAGGTCTAGTGATTTGTAATGTGACTTCAGGAGACTAATACCCTTAAGCTCACATTAAACTCAGAATGCAAGTGAGCAACCCGTGTTTTCCGCTCTCCTCTTTGATACAGGTTAGTCACAATTCGTTTTGGCTAACTTTTTTTCAGTTTTGCGTTTGTTCTGACACTTATTCTCTGTTTAGTATCCTATATGTTAGTAATGATAACTCTCTACGACAAATTTATGCACTTTTCCATGTGGCTTGAGCTGCTACTATAAAGAAAGTAATTATCTCTATAATGTGATCCATTTCTGTTTTACGCAATAAACTCAGAATGCAGGTGAGAAACGTATTTTCTGTTCTACTTTTTTTAGACAGATACTGCAGGCTGCAACTTTGTCATACCTCACACCAAAATGTTTTTTCATTTCTTCTCCTGCACTTTAATGGATTATGGTTAATTGATAATTGTTATTTTATCAAAGGATTATTACTGGGCTTAAAGGCCATTTATTAGAATATGAAATTGTGAATAAGAAGATTAACTGAGGACACTGATGACTCTCCATCAATCTTAATTTGTTATTTGATCAATGGTTTAGTACCATAGTATTATGAGTGAATTTAAGCCATTTATGATGAGTCATCAATATCTTTGGTTTACTTTTTTAATTCTGATTCCACTAAATATACTACAATTTATTTGATAAAGATATGCCACTCATTAGAGTTTGAAGTTCATTCATTAGAATCTGAAATTTTGAATAAGATGAACTGAGGACACTGAAGACTTACCATTAATGATGGGCTGCATGTTTGAGTCGAACATTAGTTCAACTCGAACATGGGCCATTTGTGTGTTCAGTGAATACACAATTGGTACGGACGTTTGGTGGGATATTCGCTCACTGCGCCCCACATTGCACTGCGCCATAACAGTGCATTGTGATTGGCCAAAGCATTGCACCTGACCACAGATCAGGTGCAATGCTTTGGCCAATCACAGGGCATTATGATGTCACAAGGGGGGGGCGAGGTGATCCTGCCCCTTTGTAATATCACCATCCTATTTAAGAACTGTCATCGCGGTGCAGCTGTCAGATGGCAGGAGCCAGCATTAAGGGCGGAGTGGAATTTTTTTTCCTTTTTTGGGGTCGGCGGTGACAGCGGGCTCTGTGATTGATGTTGGATCTACTTCGGGGGACATTTTTTTTAATTTTGAATAAAGCACCTGTCAAAGACTGTCTCTTGTCTTTTTTTACACTACCATGTATTGCATACTCATTCACATGGGGGTAGCAGGATCTGGGGGTCCCCTTGTTAAGGGAGCTTCCAGATTCCGAAAAGCCCCCCACCCACAGACCCAACATGGGGACAAAGTACTTTGGGGGGGAGCCCCCCTGCCCCAAGGCACCCCTCCAGTTGAGGGCATGTGACCTGGTATGGTTCAGAAGAGGGACGTGCTTGCTCGCCCCCCCCCCCCTTTCCTGACCTGCCAGGCTACATGCACGGATAAGGGTCTGGTTTGGAATTTGGGGGGGGGGGTCTTCCCTCAAAATCCATACCAGACCTAAGGGGCTTGGTATGGATGGAAGGGAGGACCCCATGCCATTTGAAAAAAAAAATGTAATTATTGGGCAATGCCGACAATTATTTTGACATTCAGCTGTCAGCGGGGAACCCCACTGACAGCTGAAAATTGAATGAATGTTTCACTACCAAAATACCGCATGACTTAATAATATAACTCATGTAGTATTTTAGTATACTCAGATGCAGTAGGATACCGCTCAGTAAATTGTCCCCGTTCGAAGTTCGCGATTGAACTTTTGGTAGGTTCGAATGTTCGACTGTGAACCGAAGAGGGGGGTGTTTAGCCCATCACTACTCACCATCAACCTTAATTTGTTGTTTGATTAAAGGTTTATTACTGTAGTACTATGAGTGAATCTAAGCCATTAATGAAGAGACATCAAAATCCTCAGTTCACCTTTTTAATTCGGATTTCAATGAATATATCACAATTTATTTCATAAAATAATTTTTTATCAATGGGCTTGATGTCCATTCATTCAATTTCAGTAAAATTCTAAGAAGATGAACTGAAGAGACTATCGACTTACCATCGACCTTGATTTGTTATTTGATCAAAGGTTTATTGCTTTATTGCTATGAGTGAACCTAGGTCATTGATGATGAGTCGATAATATCCTTAGTTTACTTTTTTATTTAAATTCTAATGAACATACTACAATTTAATTGATAAAGATGTCCCATTCATTAGAATAAGAATTCTTTCTCAATGGGCTTGAAGTCCATTCATTAGAATGGACTGAAATTTTAAATAAGAAAATTACTGAGGACACTGAAGACTCACCATCGACCTTCATTTGTTATTTGATCAAAGGTTTATTACTGTAGTACTATGATTGAATCTAAGCCATTGATGAAGAGCCCTTAAAATCCTTTATTTACCTTTTCTATTCAGATTTCAATAAATATACTACAATTTATTTGATAAAGGGTTTTTTTCATCAATGGGATTTAAGTCTATTCATTAGAATCTGAAATTCGGAATAAGAAGATAAACTGAGAGCACTGTTGACCAGGGGCGGACTGACAACTCATGGAGCCCCCGGGCAATAGGGGATCATGGGGCCCCTGTGTCTTTGCCCAAACTCAAAAAAACCTATGTGGTGGGTTAGGGGGGGGTTTACTTTTACGTATTATTACGCAAAAAGGTACCAGGGGCATCTCATGGGGCCCCCTACTGACCCTGGGCCCTCGGGCAGTGCCCGAGTTTCCAAATGGTCAGTCCGCCCCTGCTGTTGACCATCTACCTTGAGTTGTTATTTGATCAAACGTTTATTGCTGTACTACTAATGAATATATTATAATTTAATTGATAAATATGTCCGTTAATTAGAATAGGACTTCTTTATCAATGGGTTTTACGTGCATTCATTAGAATCTAAAATTCTGGAAAAAAAGATGATTTGAAGACACTGATGACTCAGCATCAAAGTTTTTCACTTCACCCACAATACTAAAAAAACTGGACCTTTGTAGGCAAAAAAAAATTATTTCACCTATCTTTTTTGGATAATTTTGCTACCAAGACGGGAAGGTTCAGAACATTCATAACCCTTAACAATGTGTTTGGTTTGCATCCCTCAGTGACAGGAGGTGAGGAAAAATCTGCCCAATAAGGCCAAAGACAGCAATAAAAACATTTAACCCTCCCCGCTCTATCCAAGACAAAATAAAAAGTTATGGCTGTAGTTCTGAAGTTGATCTCCACCACTGGAGCTAATCCCTAGCTACCTACTGCTCACCATTCAGTTAGAATACATTGTTTGCTAATATGTGGGCTTTCATTGGATATTCAGAGCATGGCCAGGCAGAGCTCCAGGGATTGCCCTTTTAGACAGAGAGCATCCAAAATCAAAGGGTAGACAGAACAAGGTTTCCTACTAATAAACAGCAGTCATAGTGTGCTTCCTAATGTTGGACAGGGTGTTTAGCATTAAAATGTTGACAGGTTAACTTTCAGCCACACCTTTATGTATATTACCATGGCAGGATTAGGAGGTTAGGTTAGGTGAAAGTTGCATGACTGGCAGTGGTGTTCTTAGATGCAACTGGGAAGTAAGGGGAGGCTACAGAAGGAAAAACATTTCAAAAGTAACTTCACCTTCATAGAAAAAAACATATAGCATATAAAAAAAAATAAAATAGCATACGATTGCTACACAAACTACATTGTAATCTAATGTTATTAAAAATGACCTTCCCATTTTAATCTGCAATGCTATAATTTTCTGCAAAATTCAAAGTACGTTGTTGGTGTGCAGAACACCTCTAAAAATGTAATTTCCTGCTTGTGTGATTGGCTCACTGATTTTCCCAGACGTCTGCACTAAGATACAGGTTAAATATTAGGCTTCCTCTGCAACGGATACTTCTTTTTTGGTGAGATACTCCCTAAGGGTTAATTACTTCTAAAGAGATGCAGACCCTGCAACTTTTCTCATCAGAGCACTGAAAGTGCACAAGGTGGTTATAATGAACCAGACCCTCCCATTCCCATCCTCAGACAAAGAGCTATATCTTCTGTCAGAAGAGAAGTGGTTGCAGCCCCTTTATCTGCTTGCAGGAGGGATGCACTGCCTCCCATGTCAGAGACAGTAAAAGGGAGGGACAAGAATGATTTTCCCCGGTTGAAGAAGGAAGAAATCTCTGCAGAGAGACAACAGAACCCACCCGTGTGCAGCATGAACAGATAGCTGGACATCTTTACCTGGAAGCAGAGGGATCTTTGACCCTTGGACCCTGATCTGGACTGTGGGGAACCTGCTGTGCTCCAAAGTGAAACACTGAGGGTACCTCCAGCGAAAAAAAAAAGGAAGCCCTTTTACCAGGCAAGTGGACTGAAAAGACCTGTGTAGGCAGGACTAGTGAGTGGCCACTGGCCAACCATACACTGCAATTACTAGCAGAAAAACAGTTTGCCAGCTAGGTACACTTGACTATTGCATGCATAGACTCTTAAAGGGACAGTACTCAGAATGGTCCAGTGCAAGGTCCTGGGCCCCAAGTAGATGGCCAGCAGAATGTGCACAGCAGGTCTTTTATTTATTACTGATGGTTGCTGTGAAGATCCCCTGAGACATCCCTTATAAATATATATACACATACAGGCAGGGCTTTTTTTCTCAGAGGAAAGGTGGTGGAACTCCCCCACCCAAACTGGCCACGCCCCCATCAAACCCTAGGACCACCCCTTTAGAGAACAGGAATGCAAGTAAAATTTGGGAGGGGCTATAAAAGTAAATGTATGGAATTAACACCGCCCCCCCCCCCCCACATTAGTAAGAATAGCGAGTAACACTCCCCCCCCCCCACATTAGCAAGAAAAGCGAGAAAAATTGTATCGCCGCTCCTTACCTGATGCTGACGATCCGCGCTATGGTAGGATCGACGAGCAGAGGGCGTGATGACGTCAGCGCGCACCGCCGGGTGTACTAAGATACACCTTTCCTATGGGGGTGGCCGCGCGCCCCCGATGTTTACACGCTGGCGGTAGAGGGGGGGGGGTGAAGCGTGCATGTCCCCGCTCACCGGCTGTGAGCAGCGGCAGTGACAGGTGCCGGGCACGCGCAAGCATGACATAAACAAGCCGCGTCCGGCACCTGTCACTTTCGCTGCTCTGCATAGCTTGTCAGCTCTGCAGAGGCAGTCGGTGAGCGGGGACAAGAAGAAAAAGGTGGCGGAACGCAGTACCGCCGCGTTCCGGCAGAAAGAAAGCCCTGCATACAGGTATCTTCAGTTACCTCTTCATTCCAGCCAGGTGTGTTACAGTACAGAGCTGTTTGCAGAGTTGTGAGCACAAGAACAGAGGACCCGACACATTAAGCGGCCTCTTCAAGGGTAAGCACTACAAAAGTTTAAAAAAATCCCTGAAATATACATTGATCACCAAAAAGGATTAGATTTTTCTCAATAAAAGTGGAGTTACCCTTTTATAACAAAATAGTCTGCTCTCATATACCACAGAGATGTCCAAAAACTACAGGCTTGATCTGCTGAATTAGCTTACTTAGTTGTTTGAAATGTATGCTGAGATGGTATTAGAAAGCACTGAATCCTTTGGAATTATCAGCTATGCATTTAAAGGAAGCAGAGTAGGTATTCTAGGAAAAATACAAAGCTGGGGGCATAAAACAAATTTACAGACATGGGATATTCCTATGACGTTCTTTCTATCAACCTTAACCTTCAGAGCTGTATAATATAATTGACTAAGCACATCAGCAGTTTTGCCATATTTGCAGCAGAGCGACTCCTTGACAAATAAAATTGGTCAGTGAGTTGTTCAAGTCCAACTGCAGTCAAAACTTTTTCTCAGTTATTGAATAAGGTTTAGAATTAGGAATGAGCTGATGGTTTGGTCCAAACGTAGGCACGGACCTAACTTGGGTCGTTCAGATGTTTGGATGAACACCCAAACTTTTACCCATTCTGCCCCCTGTCCAGTAGTAGCTGAAAATGATATATAGCAGAGGTATTTCTATGGCTTCTATATATGACAGCTTCCTGCTGTCACTGGTTCCTAAGTAAGCCACAAGCAGGGGCGGACTGACCATTTGGAAACTCGGACACTGTCCGAGGGCCCAGGGTCAGTAAGGGGCCCCATGAGATGCCCCTGGTACCTTTTTCATAGGCTTTTTTGAGCTTGGGCAAGGACACAGGGGCCCCATGAGTTGTCAGTCCGCCCCTGGCCACACGTGCCTGCACCCATTATGTCCCAAGGATATTGGCAGGAATTTCGCCACTTACGCAAAGGGAAGGGGATAGCAGTGACATCACCGTCCAAATATGGCCCAATTTTTTTACATTAGTGTGTGTTCCCCAAGGCAGTGCCCCCCATACTATTTTTTGGCACCCACTTGCCTATTAGCCTAGAAACTGGGCATTTTAATTTGACAGCTCCACCTTCCATTGATTTCAGAGGGGTTCGGGCCTCTTGGAAGTTTGCCAGACCCTGTTTGAACAGAACCTGGGACAGTTGGGCTCATCCCTAGTTAGAACCTTTATCAACATCTTCTTGTTGCTGGGAGATTACTCACTTATGTAATGAAATCCCCAATGGCTAAACAGCCTGTCCTGGGAGTGGTAGACCAGCTCATGCCGTACCCCTGCACAGTGAGATTACTCACTTACTGACTATTTGCTGACTTTTTGTCTGTGTTAGGCAGAACAGGAAGTGAGCAAAAGTCCCCCCAACATACATCAATAAAATCTAATATGCTAGTAAGAGTGAGTGAACAAGGTTTACAACCCTTGTCAAGATTTTATTGCTTGCATGGAGTTGAAGGGTGTGAGAGCCAAGCCGTAAGGATCGGTCCAGTCATTCATTTTTATTTGTTGAAATAAAAGCATCTATCAAGTTAACTTCCAAAGCATTTTGGGGGTTTTGCGCCAGTCCCTCTTCATCGGGCTAAGATTTATTGTGTGAATAGGATTTGGACAGGTGGTTGCTTCTGGATTTTAATTATCTGAGCCGTGGTTAGTCAGTGTTGGCCTGTTAAGTTGTCTGGAAGCTTAACCAACTTAAAGTGTTCCTAAACCCACAACAGTAAAATCAGTCTGTATATGCAGTAAAGCATGCTTGTTATACTCACTGTGGAACCTAAGGGGTTAATTCTCTGCATTATGTAAAAAGGCTGTTTGATCCTTTCTTCTCTGTTCCGCCCCTTTTTCAAGTGACCATCACTTATCTCCAGACTGAACCATAGGCATGCACATGCTCAGTTTGGTGTGTACTGCTAGAGGCAGGGGTGGACTGACCATTTAGAAACTCGGGCACTGCCCGAGGGCCCGGGGTCAGTGGGGGGCCCCATGAGATGCCCCTGGGCATTTGGAAACTCGGGCACTGCCCGAGGGCCCGGGGTCAGTAGGGGGCCCCATGAGATGCCCCTGGTACCTTTTTCATAGGCTTTTTTGAGTTTGGGCAAGGACACAGGGGCCCATGATCCCCTGTTGCCGGGGGCCCCATGAGTTGTCATTCCGCCCCTGGCTAGAGGTTTTTTTTTTTCTTGGGAAAGTGCATGTGATCAGCACAGGGCCAATCAGCACTGCCCAGACAGAGATCAGGGGTTCTGCATCCTCCTAGAGCAGAAAGAAAACTGCTCCTACAAGCTTTAGCTAGTGCTTGTCTGGACACTGATAGAAAGTCACAAGACTGCTCTAACTGCTGATGAGAAAAGGTATTTAGCAGTTTATATTTATGAAAATAATTGCATTTCCATGCTGTGTGTACTGTGGGAGACCAGATATAATTAATGCAGGGTCTGGGGTTTAGTAACACTTTAACCAGTTCCCACTTATAATTAAAATCCAGGAATAGCTACCTGTCAAGATCCCAT